GAACTTTGTAGGAAACGTTTTATTTGGTATTTTGACTGTGATGTGACCAGGGTGCAGACAGTGGAGAGTGTGATTATTCTGCAAATGATGCCCAGCAGAATGCTTCACCACAGCACCCAGTGGCGGGCCAATGGGCTCATGCCTGCTCTCAGCAAATGGGAGGCACCAAGAGGCAGTACTCCTCTCCTCTGGAAGAGCCTTCGAGGCTGAGGGAGGAGGCCTTTCCCATAATGGATCATCCCCTGCTTCATTTTCCAGGTGAGTCCAGGCAGGTGTCCTGAAGTGCTCAGCAGACCTGCTTGGTGGCTTTGATCTTACCAGACCCTGACCTGGCCCAGGACCCTGCCGAAGTTCCTTACAGGTGGCCTTGACTTCACCTCATGCAGGCATGTTTAGATGTACCACAACCACAGTGGAGGCAGGACAACCCCTTGGCATGACACCACATTCTTGAGTGGTCATTGGGAGCTTGTCCTAGAAAAAGACACAGACACTCAAAAGCAGAAAACCAAAAACCAAACTCACTGCCATCAAATCGGACCTGACTCATAGCGACCCCTCCTTGGGTTTCCTAGGCAGTATCACTACGGAAGTAGATTGCCCAACCTTCCTTCTGAGACGTGGCTGGTGGGTTTGAACCGCCAGCCTTCTGGTTAGCAGCCAAAATGCCTTAGGCACTACAAGGCCCAGGGAAAATAAAGAAACTTTGTTGTTGTTGTTGTTGTTATGTGCCGTCGAGTCAGACCTGACTCATAGCGACCCCTCCTTGGGTTTCCGAGGCAGTATCACTACGGAAGTAGGATTGCCCAACCTTCCTTCCGAGGAGTGGCTAGTGGGTTTGAACCGCCAGCCGTCTGGTTAGCAGTCAAGTGCCTTAGCCCCCACCACAAAAGCCCAACCCCATTCCTATGGATGCTGCAGCTCGGGGCCATCTGACCAGTAGGGGGAGCACAAGCACCATCTGCCTGCAGGCAGTCCTACTGCATCTGTCACATTCATTGGACCCACAGCTGGGAATGGCCTCACCCCATTCTTCAGAATTCCTCAGAGGGTACCCTGCCCACTCACTCTGCTCTACCTGAAGCCTGGGTCCAAACAATTGCCCACATCAAAGCAGAGGAAAGGATGAGGGAGCTAGATGTTCCTCCCACTCAAGGGGCAGGTTGGAGAGTCTCATCTGACAGTCTCATCTGCTCCATGGTGTCAGTATTAAACTGTTGTGTCATTGAGTTGATTCCAACTCATAGCGATTCTATAGGACAGAATAGAATGCCCATAGAGGGTTTCCAGGCTGTAAAAACAAGAGCTCTGTCCTCCATCCCAGCTGACTCAAGTTTGCAGCTGTGGACTTCTGCAGAAGAATGGCTTTTCCCAAGAGCCTATCTGTAGTGCAGAGTAAAGTGATAATCTTGCATGTTGTTTGTTGTTGTTGTATGCCATCGAGTCGGACCTGACTCATAGCAACCACTCCTTGGGTTTCCAAGGCAGTATCACTATGGAAGTAGATTGCCCCATCTTCCTTCCGAGGAGTAGCTGGTGGGTTTGAACTGCCAACCTTCTGGTTAGCAGTCAAGTGCTTTAGGCACTACGCTACCAGAGACTCTTCTTTTCCCCCAGTGATTATAATCAGCCAATTGTCCTGCCCGTGTGGTAAAGAGGAAACCTTGGCTCTTCTCTGTCTCCCTTGTCCTCTTTTGATTTTGAAACTCTTGGCTATCAGATTATTGCTTGTCTGTTCATTTATTTTTAATAAAAAATGTGTCCAATATACAGAATTTAAAACCCAAATAATACTACAGGGCACATAAGGAAAAACAGTAGCTCCCTTGTCCTAATCCTAAAACTCCTAAACTCCTAAACTCCTAAAATCCTTTCCTCCTATGTTTACCTTCATATTTCTAAATAAGATTCTTAACTCCTTACTTCTCGATTTGTAAATCTTAAGTGCCTGTTGACTATATGATGGAAGATGGACTGGGGTACTCCTAACCCACTTTCATACCTCTTATTTTCTTTTGCTCCATTCTCCTAAGATATTTTTATCACAGTTTCGTTAAATCAATATTCAATTTTAACTTTATTACTATTATGTATGTACTGTTCACTGCTGAGTGAAGAAATACTATAGGATCACATTTCTCTTCTTCTACAACTCTTTGTTCTTCCAGGAGTTAATAATTGCCTAATTTTTAAAAAAATCTGCTTAGTCTATGCCATTGTTCTAATAATTCTTCCAAAGTGCTCCAGCAGAATTTCAAAACCCCTCTGAACCCTATTTTCCATATGATCAAGCAATCAAATAAAGTACTGGTTCCATCTTTCCTAAAGGCCCCCCTCCTGCTCCTATCTGGACTGCTTGCTCTTCTGTTCAGCTACACAGCTCTGGTCCTTGGACTTCTCTGCCTCTGTTTAGTGTTGGAACTCCTGTTTCTGGATTCCAAGTCTTTCTCCTTCTTGATGTATGCCCTTGGTGTATACATGTTATTTCCCCAGTTTCATGGATTTCTCTGTAAAAGTCACCTCTGGAAGGCTGGACAGCCTGTTCTCCTAAGGTGCCTGGTAACCATCAGATATGTTTTCCAATTTGGGATAGGGACTTTTCACATTGCCATAGATAAATCCAAACTCCCAACTCTCAACCCAGTCTGCACAGAAGAGTTTGATTCAAACTTCTGACAGTCTCATCTGCTCCATGGCATCAGTATTAAACTGTTGTGTCATTGAGTTGATTCCAACTCATAGTGACCCTACAGGACAGAATAGAATGCCCATATGGGGTTTCCTAGCATAGTACCTAAGGCACTTGGTTAGAAGGCACTTCTAACCAGAAGGCTAGAGGTTCAAACCCACCAGCCACTCCTCGGAAGGAAGGTTGGGCAATCTACTTCCATAGTTATACTGCCTCAGAAACCCAAGGAGGGGTCTCTATAAGTCAGGTCCCACTCCACAGCACATAACAACAACAACAACAATAGGGTTTCCAAGGCTATAAATCTTTACAGAAGCAGACTACCACATTTTTCTTCTGCAGAATGGCTGCTGGGTTTGAACTACTGACCTTCAGTGTGCAGCTGAAAACTTAACCACTGTACTACCATGGCTCCAAACTCTAGTTAGTTCTCTCAAAAAGAATTTATTTGGTCTGAAGGACAAAAGAGAAGGACTCATTAGGATAGAAGCAGACCCATTCTGGAGAAAGCTCTCAGTGGTAAATCATCAGGGTCAGGGCCACTGCTGCCTGCATTTTACCTTCATGCAGATGAGAAGAAGGTGCCCTGTTCTTCAAGTTTCTGTATTTCTATATAGTGGAAGATTGCTATAAATGCTCACTTTGTTAGAATAAGCCCATTTACTGCCATATTGACACAAGATCAATATGAATGTAGATGATATTAGCTAGACAAACTCTTAGCAGGCTGTAATTTGTAGTGTATTAAACTTCTAGACTGAAATAAATTAAGCTCACCATAGCCTTTAATGTCTTAGGTTCACATGCCAATGCCCTAAACATTTTTTAAAGTGTAAACTTGATTTTGTTTTTGTTGTTGGTTTTGTTTTTGTGTCTTAGGAGACCCCATGTGTTACACAGTATAGCTGCTCCATAGGGTTTCCTTGATTCCCATATGGTTTTTCCCCATACTGTTTTCCATAATCTTTATGGAAGCAGATCACCAGGCCTGTTTTTCCCACAGTGCTTCTAGGTGAGTTTGAACCACCAAACTAGCTGAGTGCAAACTGTTTGTGCCTTGAACTTAATATTTTAACAGTGTTAATGCAAACATTTTTCTGGGATGCAGCAATGAAAACATATGCTTTGCTCAAACTAAATGGATATGTAGATAGATCTGTAGTTTTGAAGTAAGAGAATTTTTTTTTGTTGTTGTTATGTGCCGTCGAGTCAGCCCCGACTCATAGTGACCCCTCCTTGGGTTTCCGACGCAGTATCACTACGGAAGTAGGATTGCCCAACCTTTCTTCTGAAGAGAATTTGAGTGGAGTGAAAATGTGAGCTGGGCCTGGAAAGCAGATTTCAAAAAAATCAGAGGATGAGTGGGTCAGAAGATCTTTATAAGGAATTATAGATCATGACATATAGGAGATTATAACAGGATGATATTAACTATTGGCTCTCCAGTAACCTCAGTGGGGAAGAAAGCAGAGAAATAGCTGAAGTATTGGGAAGACTGGGTTTTAAAGACAATATTTGCTAAAGGTAAGATGAGAATAAAACAAAGGAAGACGTAAACCTGAAAGGATGGTCTCTTTCCTTCATTTGGGAAATCATTATTCAGTGGCTCCTCCATACTAGGCACTTTGCTAGGTGCTAAGAAGATAGAAACAAGACATGCTAGGCTTACAGCACGGCAGGGTATACAGACATCAAACAAGTAATTTCAAGTGTGCGACTCAGCAAACTACAAGTAGAAGGGAACTTCTTCATTGTGATGGCATCTACAGAAACCCCACAGCGAACATCATACTTAATGGTGAACGATTGCCTATGATCTCCTAAGATCAGGAACAAGACAAGCATGTTTGCTTTCTCCGCTTCCATTTGGCCTGTACTGAATGTTCTAGCCAGGACAATTAGGCAAGAAAAAGAAATGAAAAGCATTCATATTGAAAGGAAGAAATAAAACCATCTCTGTTTATAGATGACATGACTGTGCCAGGCTTCTGCTACAGCCACTGAGGTGTGGACTTTGTAACTCTAGGACCTGTTCCGTGAAAATAAACAAGCAGAATAAATGTGATGTGCGTTTCACTTTTTACCTCACTTATGCTAAAGATGTAGACACTGATGACTCAAAATGTCCACGATTTGCCCAAAGCTGCATAGTGAAGTATAGGCAGTCCCCGTGTTACAAATGAGATCTGTTTCTAAGTATGTCTTGAAGTCATAGACTTCTCCTAGAGGAGAAGCAGAATTATGGTTCTAGAAGGAAATGATTCTAGTGCTGTGTCTTACCTGGACTGGAGGGTCTGCTCTCTATGTTGTCTCAGCTGTACATGACAAGGTTCATCCACTGAGAAATAAGCATCATAGTTAGGTTGTTGTTCATTGCTACTGAGTCCATTCCAAGTCACAGTGACCCCACGTGTGCAGAGTAGAACTGCTCCTGAGGCCTTTCAAAGTTGTGGCCTTTTGAAATCAGATCACTCAGCCTGTATTCTGAGACATTTCTGGGTGGGTTATCAGCTAGTGGTTGATCACTTAACTGTTTGCACCACTCAGGGATGCTTGTCATCATTATAACCAATAAACCAAAACCACACTCACTGCAATCAAGTAGATTCTGACTCATAGAGAACCCCATTGTGTTTCCAAGGCTGTAAATCTTTACGGAAGCAGACTGTTCCATCTTTCTTCCACAGAGTGACTAGTGGGTTCAAGAATGTTTTAACCACTATACCACCAGAGCTCGTTACTGCAACCAACATATATTAGTTTAATACACAGAAGGGCTAATTGCACCTCCAACTCTAGAATGCTCAGTTCAGTTTCATCACCCTTTTCCAGCTAATCCCAACCCAAGAAGGAGGTCTCAGGTCCTCACCACAGCACATCTTCTGCTACTCCTTGAATAGTCAGGGAATAAAAACCAAATCCATGGCCATTGAGTTGATTCTGACTCATAGTGACCCCATTGGGTTTCCAAGTCTATACGTTTTTGTGGAAGCACACTGCCTCATCTTTCTTCCTTGGAGTAGTTGGTGGTTTTGAACCACCAACCTTTTGGGTAGCAGCCAAATGACTTAACCACCACTCCACCAGAACTCCTCAGTCAGTGAATAACAGGGAAATATTTCTGAGGTCAACCAGTTGGCCAGGTCAGGAAGCTCCTTCTAAAACTCAGTGGGAGTTTAATGTACAGTGAGCTCAATAGGCTGTTCTTCAATTCCCTCTTGAATTTATGATTCCCACATAATCCTCTGCTTTATTAAGCTATTGGAAAAAAATAAAATCTGTCTGCCAAGATCCTAAAGCAGCCTTGGCAGCCAGCAATATATAAAGGCAGTCATTGGAGCAGGGGACCCAGCAGCTAGGCTGGCTTTTGATGAACTGCTCAACATCTTCAGGGAGAAAAATGCCCCCTGGAATCATGCCAGGAAGGGTGGCCTGGGGAAGGTAGCTTACCTCCATTTCTGTCAGGTAGAGTCCTTTTCCATCCTTGGAGAGGTTATGGAAAGTCTCTGAGGTAAAGAAGCAAAGGTTTCACTGATTGAGAAGGAGAGAAATCAGGACAAGGTGGCAGGCTTGGGGCCACACAACAATAAATGCCAATGTGGCCATTGTGAGTAGAGCAGACACACACACATCCACTTCTCCAAGGACTCAGCCCAGCCTCCCACCTCTATTCTTTCCAGCCAAGCTCCACTTATCCACGGGGCAGCTTAGGGCTCACCTCCTCAACATAGCTCTCTGTTATTATTCAGCCCATACACCTCTTTTCCTTTTCCAATTTCTTTTTTTTTTTTATTTTAATTTTATTTTGATTTGGGTGAAGATTTACAGAGTAAATTCACTTTTCATACAGCAGTTCACATATACTTTGTC